GGCACATAACAACATAATAATATGGATATGACTAACAAAAAAGTATTTTTCCCTTAAGGGAATAATTTTATTAATTCACTATCACTTATTTTATGGTCACTGAAAAACAAAATTGGGAGTAGAATTTGCAGACCAAAATAATATATAAAGAGGTTTGCAAGGGGTTTGAATTTATGGCCCTTATTTTCCCTGTGACAGTTTGTGAAGCCTTGTGTTAAGGCTGATTTAGAGTTCTGTGGTTGGCATTGGCATTTAATTGCAACAGACACAAAATAGTTTGACCTTACAAGAAAAGTATAATTTATGGCTACTTGGCCACAATTGAGTGGTTTTTACATAGAGGCAAGATTTACATGTTGATGGCTTCCAGTAAATAGACCTTGGGCTATGAAAATTATGCTATACAAATCTAAGAAAAGGTGTATACCACACCATTTGACCATTCTAAGTTAAATTATAAAAGCTTTATAATACAGACTACTTTATCTTACTCTACAGGCTTACCCGAGACATAATTATACTCCTGTGGCCTAGTGGGTAAGGAGTTGTACTGTCAATCTAAAAGTATATAGTTCGAATGCATGAGCTGCTCCACAGGATAAAGATGGACAATCTCTTCCTCTGTGATTTAACAACAACATATAACAACAACAACAAAAACAACAACATCATGATGATTGGATAGGTACTAAAGAAACTCTAATCATTTAACCAAAATATTTTCACAGAAATTTAACCCATCGGTCCTTTGATTCTCTTCTCTAACTGAAAAATCTTAAGTTTCTTGGTCCTATATTAGAACCCTTTGACCATAAAAATATAGAATAATTACATACAAGAGTAAGCTGGGCAGTAGGGAAAATACAATTTCTGCTTTTAATTTCTCAAGTATAAGCTGTTTCCAAGTGATTTTTAGACTTCATGATTGCATGCTTCCCAGGAAAGAAAGTTAGTCCTTACATCAGAAATTTACTCTTTCTATCCAAGCCCCTTAAGATGTTTGTATCTTTGGAAAGTGCTTTCTGAAGTCCAGCATTTCATACCACTAAGGCATAATTAATGAGTATCAAAGGGGTTTTGGAGATTTAGCCAGCATCACATAAAGCCAAGTTTAAAACCAGTTTACAATCCAAGCATCACCTTGCAGGCTCCTGATAACTCCTTTTCCCAACTCCATAGGTTCTTATAACATCTTTTATATATAGATTTCTATTCATTCATCATTGCACATTTCCCCTCATACCTTACTCTGCTCTCCTGCCCCCACCCCCAGTTTGCTCTTTTCTTAAAAAAACTCATTCTTTGTTTCACAGTTTCATCCCTCTCCTCCACCCTAGTCCACTTTGCTATGCATCGTTTCTTCTGGACTGTTGACATATAAATAATGCTGATCATATATTCCTTTTAGACAGTTTTTTCCCCCTCATCTGTTCCAGTGCAGTATTCATTATTTATCCCCTCTTTTCTTAGTTTCACACCAATCCTATGACAGTCTTGTTTTCTAACAAGGGGAATTATGCAGTATTTACACTTTTGTGTCTGAGATATTTCACTCAGCATACTGTAATCTATGGTCACCCATTTTGTATAATATTTTATGAGTTTCTTATTTTTTATTGCTGCATAGTATTCCATTGTGTGAATATAACACAACTTCTCTGTCCATTCATTTGTTGATGGGCACTTGGGTTGCTTCCATCTCTTTGCTACTATAAACAATGAAGCAATAAACGTAGTTGTGCATATATCCGTTTGGGTGAAATCTCTGGTTACTTTAGGGTTTATTTCTAATAATAGAATTGCTGTGTCGAATGGTATTTCTATTTCCAACTTTTTGAGAAAGCACCATACTGCCTTCCACAGTGGCTGAACCATTTTACCACCAGCACTGAATACGGCTTCTAATTTCTCCACAAACTCCAGCATTTGCTTTTTGGTGCTCGTTGAACTTTGCTATTGTTACTGGGGTGAGATAATATCTCATAGTTGTTTTGATTTGTATCTCTCTTAGAGCTAGGGATTTTGAACATATCTTCATGTGTTGGTTCGCCATCTGAATGTCTTCTTTGGTGAAGTGTCTGTTCATATCCTGTGCCCATTTTGTGATTGGGTTGTTTACCTTTATCTTGTTGAAGTGCTGGAGTATTCTACAGATTTTAGATATAAGTCCTTTATCAGACATGTCATTAACACATTTTCCCCTCCAGTCTGTGGTTTTGTTTTTTACCCTGTTGGAGAAGTTTGTTGCTGTGCATAGAAATTTTATTCTTAGAAGGTCTCATTCATCTATTTTATTCTCTCCTGGTTGTAGGTTTTTCAGGATGTTTGGAAGAGGTTCGGTTCATATTGTAGATTAGAGCTTCTGGAGTTTGTTCAAGCTTTTCTATGATGATGTTTACAGTCTTTGATTTTACCCCTAGGTCCTCTTGGTCCACATTAAATTGATTTTTGTGTATGATGTGAAGTGTGGGTCTTGTGTGAGTTTTCTACAGATAGTTTTCCAATTTTGCCAACACCATTTACTAAAAGGCTTTTGTTCTCCCACTTATTGATTTAATCTCCTTG